TTGTTTGAGCTCTAGTTTGTACTGCAGTCACCAACCCCGTTTGAGGTAATGAGCCAGAAATATTTTGAGAATCCAAAGAATTTGAAGTTTGATTTTCAGCCATTAAGACCTCCTGAGGCCTTGAGCCGGAAAAAGGTGAACCGATACCATATTCGGGATCTAACTGATCGATCTAACTGATCGGCGTATGGCGATTAGCTCGATAAGAGAAAGATTGGGTGGTCGTATGCTCAACACGTATACAGTCAATCAATGTCACCTTCGTCATCGACACTCGGGTCAGAATTGAGCAGCTGATTCGTTATACTCAAGGTCGAGATGGACTCACACAGTGAATGTGAGCGAACCATCGGGAAGGACTCGCACAGTGAATGCGAGCGAACCGGTCCTGCTAGTTCACGGCGAAACGCTCAGAATCTCTGGCGAACTCACATTCGTGTGGGGAGTAGAAAAGCCACTTTCTCAATTTCCTCCTTCAGTAGAAGGGGTCATCTCCCGGTCCACCGCAGCCATCGGCAGTAAGACGCGTGGGTAACCAGGTATGAAATAAACCAAAAAGAAAAAGGGCTAGTTATTTAAAAAGAACAAGAACGCATCTTACTCTATCGAATGAGGTTAGATGCCGGCTTCTGCTTAACTAGTCTTTGTTGTAAATTGGGAGCATTGCGAACGCCTACAATAGGAACAACAGTTCCTAAGGGCGTCTCTGCAAAATGCTGCTTCCACAACCGATGAAAATGAGACGCAAATTTATCCATTCCTTCACAGAAGGTGAAATGAAACAACATTGAGGTCTCATAATCAATTTCAGCGATATTTTGATCTCTGGTATAGAAAAAATCCTGAAATAGCACGATAAGAGAAAGATTGGGTGGTCGTATGCTCAACACACACAGTTTTCAAACGAGAGACCGACTAGAAAAGCACTGACAACTCACACTAGAGAATTTGGGAGGTTTGTTTGACTGAAGATTAATTACCGACCGGTTTCACTTTTATTAAAATAAAAGCTCTTCAGGGTATCTAGAAAATACAAACAAACACATAAAAATAAAAAATATATAAAAATCACAAGTAAAATTAAAATAAAAAACAAAGAACATAAAACAGGCACAACAAAAAAGAAAAAGAAAAACGACACAACAAGAGAACAACAACAACAAAGAAGGAAGATTAATTACCGACCGGTTTCACTTTTATTAAAATAAAAGCTCTTCAGGGTATCTAGAAAATACAAACAAACACATAAAAATAAAAATATATAAAAATCACAAGTAAAATTAAAATAAAAAACAAAGAACATAAAACAGGCACAACAAAAAAGAAAAAGAAAAACGACACAACAAGAGAACAACAACAACAAAGAGTGCCACCTAATAATTCGGTGACCTCACAACAACGCCCGACAAAGAGCTTTGAGAGGCGCCAAAGACGGAAGAGATTAGAGGTGAACTATATAAACCCAGCTTTGGGAATTAATAGGTTCGCTCCTCTAGCCGAACTCGATGATAAAGTCGTTTAGGACATCGGTCAACATCAAACGACCGCGTTTACAGTTGCAAATGGTCGTAAGCAGCAAAAACGACGGCAACATTTTATGGAAGAAGAAAACGAAGAGAAAGGACAGGAGCCCTTCTTGAAAGAGGCACCCGTCGATGAAAAGGTAAAGTACGAGAATCGCCCATATTTAGAGCCCGTTCATATTCGTGCTCATCTGAATACTGTGGCAGAGCGAAACAAAATGCCACCGCCCGACATAACATTCGATACTGTGGCGAGCAAGCTCCATTTCTGGATCAGTGGGTGCGTGATCACTATGAATACCAAGTCTGACAGTAATTTTTAAAGCTTGGCTCTGGTGACTATTCGGATCACCTCCATTGGGCTCATGAAATTGTTAAACGCACGAAGACTCGTGATACCCGAGCCAATAAAGAGTTCTGTGTCAATCAAATGAACAGACTCAAGAAAAGTATTCTGACCGCCAGTAATGAAGTGACTCGGGCACAAGGCGAGTTGGCTATGTTTGTACCGGCAATGTTACCCGGTCAGACGTCTCGGTTGTCGAACGCCGGTGTTGCACAACAGCAGCCCGAACGAAGCGTTACCGCCCAGTTCTTATTTGCACATGACATTCTTCGGAAATATATTCAATCCCACACTCAATATGTGGCCCGGAAATGTGCCAATCGTGTCGCCATTGCAGACGCAGAACAAGCCGAATTCGCAGCTCTGCAATTGTTCGAAAAACGAGCGACCCCCCAGCAAAAAGCACATGCTGCCCTTTTGAAACCGAAACTAGAGGCACTCCATGGTAAAGAGAAACACATGAGAATGTTGGCTAAGCAAGTCGAATTTGAGATGGTGCCGAAATCAATTCCCAAATTTGATTTTCGTTACCGAATCGACGAACGAGCCCTGTCCTCCGCACAAATAGAGGTTTTAAAGTTATATTCTGTTCATCAAAAATATATCCCTTCCAATCTGGTGGAGAACTGGCGCTAACAATGCTGATGGTTGCCCATTAGCAGAGGCTAACTTTACGGGACACTTGTCTCAATATCCCTTGTAGAGAAAAAACCCTTTTTTCTTCTGAGGTCAGTTTGACTGCTGCTGGAAGCTTAAAAAAGCTTTGCATAGCTATTCAAAGCACTCTTTGAATGTTGAGAATTCAATCGAAAGGTGTAGGTACCTGTTCGCTTAAAATAAAGATTTATACTTCTCTTCATTCTCTGTTCACGCTTTTCGATCGTTTTTAAAAAGAGCGATAAAGTCAACAATTTAGTGATTTCAGAAAATTAGGCCGCTTTTGGAAATATGGCCTGTCTGAAAACGTTGAGAAATTTTCCCATAAAAGTCATTGCAGAAAAATTAAGAGACGCATTCTTGATCCACAGGTGGCAGTCTTTAAACTCTTTACGGGATGAAAAATATCACCGACTGTTTGAACTCGTTGCGAGTTCAATTGACTGTTACATTGTCACATAGTATAGGCGCGGCTAGGGAGACTGTTTTGAACTCGTAACGAGAGTGTTAGCGCACTATGCTCTAACACGTTATCGTCTTCTTTTCTTCTTTTGGTTTTTTCTCCTTATACAGTCATTGTATACACGCGCCTATTATTCAGTTTTTCTTACGTCCTTAGTACATAGATACTGTGGACTTCAGTTATTTTTCTTTTTTTCGTACAGATATGACTGACTAGCTATTCATTCCTTTTCTTAGAAATTTCATCATCTTTTGTCATATATATATAAATTTCACAATCTTTTGTCAGATATACAAGTTTCACCATCCTTTGTCATATATACATAAATTTCATCATCATATATTATATATATATAGGATACTCCACAGTTAGTTTGAAGTCGTCGTGTCACATTCGTATATCGTCTCCTTATCGTCGTCCATTTTTTTGTCATCATTTATTCTATTCACAATTTTTAAATATACATTTAACAGTTCCCAAGAGGTTTCATCGAATTTTCAAGAGTCAGAAAGCCTACCGTTCACAATCACAAATACATTTAGTCAAAGAGATTGCATCTGTGATAATAATTAATGCATACAACGCTTAAGTGGATGATCATGACTTCTTTTTTTCTTAAGAAGAACTGAACACACGTGCAGCGTGCGTGTTTTTTTCATATATTCCTGTACACTTTAATCAATAATGAGCCTTGAATAAAGAAAAAGCATTTCTCGTTTTATAATGATCCATTAAGTTAACTTAAAATACAATAAGTAACACTCTCTCAAAAGAGTCATGTCTTCTTAAACACAGTCGATGAGCGCACAACAAATGATGTTGAGTATGTGATAAAATTTTAGTTTCGTCAACACCAAGTACAAATGGCAAGGTTGGCGACAGTAAGAATGGACAGAGGAGAAAACGAAGTTTCTAAAGCCGGTTTGCCGGAGGTTCTTTGGGAAATCAGCTCCATTGTCAGAATATCAACATACAACGTTAGTAGTCTTTTGTATGCGTAGGTAGTCCAGCCGTTTAATTACGAAAGACCTCTGTAAAGTGAGCCCAACCGTGATGCACCGGCCCTGATGTTAAGGCAAATGCCTCAAACAGTGTCGTACTACTATCCATTCCAAAATACAAGAGCCTTGGTCATTTTTTAAATACCTTTTGACAGAAGATATGTATATCTTCCGTCTAGACTTCTGTCTGTAGAGACTTGCAGTTTTCCACATTCGAAAGAGGGCACCTGAATACATCTTTTTGTTTTTCACTGATATTTGTGAATCGCAAATTATATGATCTTGATCGTCGCTATGTCCCAAAAGTATAGTTTGTTGCAAATCCATTTTCTTTCCCAGAATCAGTTTCCAGAAGTGAGTTTGCGGCAAGTACAAATTCTTCATCCTATCGATGTATTCTTGCTGTTTCTCTTATACTCTTACTGTTGCTTATATTCTGTTTTTTATCTACACTAAATAATTATTAATAGCCACATACATTACTACCGATAATCACACGATCGTTTATAGCGAGGGACCGACGTCTCATTTTTCGGGGATCGAGTTCTCCGTGAGGGCCCATTTTTGAATTTTCGCCGATTTCACTTTTCTCGTCTACA